GTGTGTGTGTGTGTGTGTGTGTGTGTGTGAGAGAGAGAGAGAGAGAGAGAGAGAGAGATTTCTAAAAAAAAAAAAAAAAAAAAAGTGTTCAACCAGTCTGTCACGTTGAACACTTTGCAGATAGAAGACAGGCCACTTGTGGGTTATCTCTGCCCATGGCGTCTCTACTTCTCTAGCATGGAGCTACAGGTAAGGGTGGAGCTCCATGATTTGTCCATCCCACTTGGTTCTCACAATGGCTTAAGGAAGAAGTTAGCCTTGTCTCCATATAGAATGAAGATCATTCGGGCCCAGGGCTCTCAGATAGTGGTTTCTTGCCCTGGGATGCTGCTCTGGAGGGGCAGAGCTAGCAGAATCAGCTGGTCTCCATGGAGCTCCTTTGGTTCACTTCTGAGCTCAGCATGGGGACATGAGTTTGTTCCCACTGTACAGCTATCTTGATGTAGATTGGGAATGCCAGTGTGTGGCTGGGTTCAGAATAGGGTTTTTTTTTTTTTAAACCAGGAAGATGGTTTCTTTTTACCCCTTAATTCTGCAAACAGGTGATACAGGAATGAAGGGTATCTGCACAAAATAGTGAGCAAGCTGCTTTACCATTCTCCCCCTTTCCTGTTTTTACTTAGAAGTTGAGCAGAACCTGTGTTGCAAACCACTCTGCTGATAGGAGTCAGTCATTCATCACATGCACGGAGAGAAAAACCTAGACTTGTGGGCCATGTCCAGTTGAGTAGATGCCATTTATTTTGTGGCACTTGCCTTGGGGAGGCCTGAGTGCCAGGTGGATGGCCTTGGGGATTTACCCAGTACCTTGGAATATTACCACCAGTCTTAACCAGAAGCACCAGGTGATGTTTACAGTAACTTATGTGGGGCAGGAGCTCCATGCTAGAACAGTGAGCAAAGAAGGTCGTTGTATATCTGAGCAGCTATTTCAGTCAGGAAGTGTTTGGACAGATGAAGGTGAACCTTGCCATGTAATTTGGGTTTCCTTGTGATATAGCAACCTGCATGTCTATATACTCCCAAACCCGTGGTCCTCCTGCCTGTTCCTTGTGTGGCTCTGGCTCCTGGTGTCTTTAGACACTCTCTCCTCAGCCATGGGGGAGGAATCCAGGCTGGTGGTGGAGTAGCACTTGGTGCATTCCTGGAAGGAGAACTGAGATGAAAATACCGACTTTCCCAGCCGCTGGAGAAAACAGCTACAGCTCAGCTTTGCCTGCCCGTGGTTATTTAGCCCTCACTTCTAGCTGTTAAAAATCATATTTAGTCCATTGTGCTTGGCTGTGGCTTCACCACAGACACTTCCTCCACCGTCCCCCTCGTCTCTGTGTCTAAGAGGTAGGATTCTGGAATCCCCTTGGTGCAGTCAGCTTCTGGGGCTGGTAGGGTGCTCTGGCTACTTCTTCTTAGACCACCTTCTTTGGGAACTCCCTATTCTAATAAACTAGCCACTTCTCTGCAAATTTCAGTGTTTGGCGGGTGCGGGTGCTGAGCATGGACATAGTAACAGTCCCTGCTCTCCAGTGCTCACTTAATGGAAAACCATGGACTCACCTGATGGGTGGGGACAGCTCTCCTGCAGGCCAAGAATGTGGCTATGCTGAGCTCTGGCCTCCGCCTCATTTAACACTCATATCACCCATTTCCAACCACTAATGGACCAGGGGAGCACCCGTGGCATAGGAGTGGAGGTGGAGCCAGGCCACATGCCACAGAAAAACAGGTTCAAGTCACTGGCAAGACTTGAGAACAGGGCTAGTGTGAGCCGTTTCTGCCTTCAGGGGATAGTGCTTATAGATGTGTTTGGGGCCTCAGGTCCAGGGCAGTACAGGATAGCAGGAGAAAGGCTAGGAGTTGTGAACAGGTAGGGCAGGCCTCTTCCTGGATCATAGACAAGGCGGCTGCTGGAAAGAGGCCTTTCTTCACCTGAACTTCTGTCATTAAATACAGTTGAGGCCTTGGGAAATACGGCAGCCATGGAGCCTGGAGGCTGCTCAGTCCCAGCTTTTTCCCCAGACTGAGACCTTTGGAAAGAGGTTGTGCCTCCCCTTGGAAGGGGGATTTGAGTGAGCATCTGGGAAGAAGTGAGTAGTGAGGAACTAAGACAGGCTTGCATCAGTGCAGGTGTGTGTGTTTGTGTGTGTGTGTGTTTGTGTGTGTGTGTTCTTCCTGGGACTCACTTATTGGGATAGCTAGGGAGCCCCAGGGATCTGTGTCCTGCGTGTGTACCATGCCTGGCATTTCATTTAGGTTCTGGGGACTTGATGCAGGTCCTCATGCTTGTATGGCAAGCATTTTACTGATTGAGATGTCCCCTCAGCCTCACATTGCCCCTTCTTTTCTGGGATCTCTACCTCTGCCCTGAGATCATCTTTGTTGACTTTGTGGTATAAGCAGGCATAAGAATGTTGTCTCCTTATCTTCTGCGTGTGGGACTGTGTGTACTAGTCATATTTCAATCTCTGTGACAAAACACTTGAGGAAAACAACTCGGAGGAGAGGACTTATTTTGCCTCATAGTTTCAGAGGCTTCACTTCTGAGTCAGCTGGCTCCATTGCTTCTGGGCTCGTGGTACGGCAAGCAGAAAGCCATGAGAACATCAAGAAGGGTCAAGGATTGCACAATACCATTCACGAGTACACTTCCTTTGACCTACTTCTAATCAGGCCCTGCCTCCTAATGAATAGCCCCATTCAGCTGTGAACTCAACAGTAGATTAACCCATTGATGAAATCAATCACCTTTCAGTAATGCCACCAAGCCTTTGGCACATGAGCCTTTTGTGGGATTTCATATTAAACTCTGACTGTATTGTTAACCATGTTTTTCATTCCCTTGCCCCTGCCTCCTTGCAAGCATACATGGTGGCCACCCCGCTTGCCAGAAAACACACTAAACATCTACTGCTTGCTAGATAAACTTTAGGAGTATAGAGGTGGCTTTCCTGCCTTATGCTAGGGATAAAAAGCAGAGAGGAGGAATAAAGCCTATGTTAAAAGTACAGCCCAAAGTAGTGAGTGCTGTGGAAGCAGTCCTAGGGGCCTTGATCAAGTGTGAGGGTGGAGACAGACATTCTACAGACTCAAAAGAGTAAACTTGAATACAGCTGCTCCCTGTTCTCTATCCCCTGGGCAGTGTAGGTGGATAGTGACTCATGGGGTCACATAGCCTTGGAAAGGGGCTGCTAAATACCTGCTAGGCAAGAGTGACACCATGGGCATGGGTTCTAAAAGCTGTCCAGACCCTGGGCAGGAGGGTTGCCCTGGGGCAGCAGAGTTCCAGCTTGTACCTGCCTGTTCGCTATGTGTTCACAGTGCCTGGCTGGGAACTGGCTTTGGTCATGTGACTTTTGGTCACCCAGTTCTGAAGGGCACTCTTGTGTGTTCAGAGCACCTGTGTGTGGTGCCATTTTATATGTAATATTGTGATTGAGGGTTTTCAAGGTTTAACTATAAAAAATATTCAAGATGCTTTTCATAAATCTGTCAAGTTTTGTTTTGTTTGTAAGTTTAAGATCTTAGACCGACACTAACCAAGAAGCTTTGAATTTGGATGCTCTTTAGTTTTGCCTTCACTTCTGCTATGCAGTCTCAGGCAGTACGGTTTCAAGCGCACCTTTTCATCATCATCTATCTTTTGTCGGAGTGAATAGCACTATTAATGCTCATTCTCCCAAAGCACAAGTGCAAGAGCCGGGTGCCCAGATCCCTTCACGTATCCCATACCTGGTTGCTCTGTGAGGTCTCAGATTCCTTCCCTGGACCTGCAGCACTGTCGGTCTTTCCTGCCACTGCCAGTGCATGACCTTCCCTTCCCTGTGACTTGTCTCAACACCTGTGCCAGCTTCCTTCCCCTGAGAGGGCAGCTGCCCTTCAGCCAGATGTAACCCTTCCAGTAACTCAGGTTCTGAGTGTCCCATATTCTTAGCATCTGTGGCTACCCCAGGCTTTACTTGGTTTAAATTGCATAAGTCCTTCTTAGATGATGAATGGATTAGAGCTCTAGAGTGCCCAAAGTTCATTTATTTTTACAAATATAACTAGGAATTGAGTTGGACTGTGAAACCATTTCTGAAGTAGATTCCATTATAACAGAAACATGGGAAGAAAACAGTGAAACCAGTTCATTCTCATAGTCCTCCTCCCTTCCCCTGTCTCCTACTTCTCCCTCCCTCCTCTTTTCTCTCTCTTTTTTGGCAGGGTCTTACTATAATGCAGCCCAAGCTGGCTTCAGACTCATTACAAAGCCTAGGCTGGTCTTGAACTTGTAGCAGTCCTCTTGCTTCAGCATCCAGAATTCAGGGATTATAGATGTACTGTACCATATCTGGTCATTTGTTTCTTTTTGAAGTTTTTGTCACATTGTTTTGATATATTTTTAAACATCCATGTCTGTTTTTTTGGGAGCCCAGGAGTCCATTTGTGTTAATGACTACACCTATACAGTGCACCTGAGAACCAGGCTGATTTATACTACTAGTTAGAATTTATAGTTTTGGGAGCTTTTGTTTGCATGTTGTTGGGAAAGAAGACTTTGAGAGCATCTAAGGAATGATGGGCTGTATAGATAATTTAAACTAGAGGTTAGCTACTAAAACAACTCTGGTCTGAAAGGCTGGCTGTCCTTGGAATGTCAGTTTGTAAATGAACTTGAGGATCACAGATGTCACTCCTTGGGAACTGAGACTCAGGTTACTCTCCTGGTCCAGACTCACAGCTAGTGAATGACTGAGCCAGATATTTAGTTTATTTTGGCCAGTTTCTGCTGATATACTTTATTGTTGAGCACATTTTCTTATTCTAAATTTTGGAATTTGCACAATAATAGTTGACCAATAAAAGATTGTGTCTGAGTTCTATATCTGTGTAGTTCTGTGTGTATGCAGGCCCGTAGTTCCTCTCAAAACTTAGTATGACTTGTTCATGTCAACCTGTCTTGGCCGTCGGAGTGTCTCTGTAACACCCAGAAATGGCCTACCCCTTTTCTTTTCTTTCTTTAGGAATTTGCTTGCTAGAAAACAAAATGCAAGACTTGATAGACAGAGAGACTTGGGATGGAAGCTGTTTGGAAAAGTCCCACTTCGAGAGACTGCTCAAAAAGATTCAAAGAAAACACAAAAGGTAAGCCACTGTGTGTGAGGGTGTACTCACGGACCACACTGGTGACCCTTGAAGTCGGAAAGCTCTCCTCTGTGTTTTTTATGTGCCTTGGTTCTTAACTTTAAATTGCATTCAGTGTGTACAGGGATTTGACTTTCTTCACCTCTTTATAGCTTGTAACATGCACACAGGGCAGTTCAGCTGGGCTTTAGATACTTAAACTTGATGAATTTTAGTCTTTCCAGTAGCAGTTGCAGATATGTTTATTTGTTTTTAAAGACTTGTTTATTTATTGTATATACATTATTCTGTCTGCATGTATCTCTGCAGGCCAGAAGAGGGCACCGGATCTCATTACAGATGGTTGTGAGCTATCATGTGGTTTCTGGGAATTGACCTCGGGACCTCTGGAAGAGCGGCCAGTGCTCTTAACCTCTGAGCCATCTCTCCAGCCTTGCAGATGTGTTTATAATCAAGCTTTTATTGTATTTGATACTCTCAAGTCTTCACACATTTCTTAGAGTTTAAATCCTTTAGAGCTTAAATCCTTCATTTTGAACCAGGCGATGGTGGCACACACCTTTAATCCCAGCACTTGGGAGGCAGAGGCAGAAGCAGGCAGATCTCTGAGTTTGAGTACAGCCTGGTCTACAGAGCGAGTGTCAGGATAGGCTCCAAATCTACAGAGAAACCCTGTTTTGAAAAAACAAAACAAAAAATCCTTTATTTTGCTCTGGGATATGTGGATTAGGCCATCATGTTTCCAGGCTTTGGGAGGACCTTGCCCTTTGCTTACTTAGATATTGTCTGCTTTGAGAACTGGGATTCAAATAGTCCATGCCAGGCCTGCACCAACATCCCACTGACTTCCTTACTCCTCAAGTTTGAAGCTGGAGTACCTGCTTATGTTCTCAGGGAGGAGGCCAAGCCAAATGGTGGCAGCCCTTAGGCAGCCCTGACTGTTAGCACCAGCAACTTCTTTGAGGCTTTGAACCTGTGTACCTTAAATGTCAGCTGTTGCCCAAATACTGTGGTCCTGAAAATTGTTGCCTTGAAGGTCTGCTATTGGCCAAGTGGTTGTCCTCAGTAGCCTTCTTCCCACCTTAGATTTATATTCACTGACAGTTGTTCTCTGGACCCTCTTGAGAACCAACTAAAGCTGTTCCTCATGACTAACGTTGGGCCTTGAGAAAAGACCTGGCCCAGTTCAGGCAGGCAAGACCCACCTAAGGCAGGTCTTTCTCCCTGCAATGGCACAGTTGATATGGGGATTATTTGCTGAGGGGTTACTATGTGCTAGTTTTGAACAGTGTCATTTGTGCTTCTAGTTTGTTTATTTAAAACAATGACCCATGATGTTTCTTGAGCCTCAGGTATAAGTGTTGTGTTATGGATGCATCAACTGGGACTAGGCATCCTACTGTCAGTGGTCCTCTGCATTTTTATCAGTTGTGGCATTCTGTAATGGTACCCATCTTCTGCAGAAAAAGATTCTTTGGCTATGGGTAATAGTTGTGGTTACATGTGGGTATAAAGATGGGTGTTAGGAATTGCACTGATTTAGAAGATTGACAGTGGTAGGTTGTCCTGTAGGGTCCGTGACTTCACCAGCCATGGGCAGTTGACCAGGTTTACAGTGCCAGGCAGGAATTCCCTCCTATTAAGTGGGCCTTAAGTCCAATGAGGGGGCTGTTGGTTACCCTAAGGTGTAAGTAACACTATTGTACCTTTGAATATAGCTTGTTACGCTGGTCATTGTTGTAGTTTATAGGCTTTACAGCTAAATAGGGCTTTTCATTGCTTTCCTCCTTGGCAACCTGGACAGCACCTTCAAATACTATGATTACTAGTCCTCAAGCATGAGGCTTCCGGGTCAGTTTTAGCTGGGTTCTTTCAAGTGTTCTGTGTCTGAGGTATGTGGTGTCTTTAACAATAAATCTTATCTTCAAGTTCTGGGAGACAACCAAAGACATTGGCAATAGCTTCTATTGTTTGGGAAGTCTCATGAACTTTCCTGACCAAAACCTCACAGTAAGGGTTGTCATGTCTGGCACTGGGGCTTTTGTTAGATTCTCTGACAGAAAGCTGTTGGGGAGAGCATGCTCACCACAGGTGATATACCTTCATCTAAGTTATTTAGTATACATACATACTTCTATATGGTATATACTTATATATGTGTTTTTAAGTAAACATGTCCAATGGCTTTTTCTATCATGCTTATTGTTCTTTAGCTCTCCTCTCTCCCTCAACATTGCCTTTCTCTGTCCAGATAAAGAAGGGGGTAGAAATTTTAAAAACCAGAGGACCAGGATATCTGCTGCAAGATAGTACATACGCAAATGGCAGGGAACTGAACCCATCAAATCTTAACAATGCTGTCACCTAAACAGGACCTGTATAGTGACACTACCAGTTGACATCCTATCATGATGGGGGGAATATCACAAGGCCCTCCCTCTAGATGAAGAGCTGCAGGCAACTGATGACTACTGAGAGAGGAAGAATCAGTCTTTTCCAGAGATGAGCCTCCCTGATGGGTTATCTGGTCCCAACTGGCCATCCCTAAACACATAGACATTTGAGCAATACTGAATGAACTCAGCAAATTGTAATATATATTTTATGTATATGTAACAAAATAGTTAAAGAAGACATTGTGAATTTGAGAGGGAGTAGGAGGACACACAGGAATCCTTGGAAGGGCAGAGGGTGGTGTAAAAAGGATGTGCATACAGTGTCCACATGTGAAATTCTCATAAAACAAACAAAACAAAACTTCCCCCACCTTATGAGGAAGATACAGTCATTGTCTTCAGCTTGCTGAGGAAACATGGAGGTGCAGAGGCTGGTGACTTGTGCAGAGTTCTGATAATTAGAGAAAGGCAGAGCTGTAATGCCATCCCATGCAGTCAGGAACCAGGGCTAGTCAGGCGGTGAATGATGTGAGCCTTAGGAACAGAGGAGAAGGTGTCTGTGACCTGAGTGGTGTGCTGGTGCCTCTCTTTGATGGGGTGCTTCCCTTAGCCAAGTGTGGTAACCTCACTTGCAAGTCCAAGTTGGGGAGAAGGGTACCTGGTCCAGCTGAGGTCATTGTGGAGTTCCAACCACAGAGCTGATGACTCTTAAGTATAGGGTATGCAAGGATGAGGCAGGTTTCCACACAGCAAATTTTCAGGTCTTTGCAAATAAAATTTGTTGGAATGTTGTCTGCCATTTCTCTGGAAGACTCACTATGGTTATCAGTGAAATTATCTATCTTTGTAAATTATTACATTTTGATTTTGAGTCATCGTGGAGGCTTATTAAGTGAACTACAATTAAATATGAGTTTGTATGCAAAACTCTGCTATAACTTTCCTAGGAGATGGAGTAATAGTACTCTTGTAAAGAATCTACACTTAAGGAGGAATGGTAATTATGTTAATAGACATCCATATGGTTCCTGAAATCTCTTGTTTCATGTGTTATCTGCTCTGGAATCTTATTGGTGAACTGGAATGCCTAGGCCAGCAGGCTGTGCAATAACAAGGTTCTGCTGATAATACCTTTGGCTTTAGCTATCAATAATGAAGAAAGTAACTGTACCCCCATGCATGAGTCACACAATCCTGCCTGGGACCTGTTTGTATATCCTTTGTGTCTCTGGGCCTCTTATCTCTCATCCCAAGATGTCAAAGCCAGAGAGGGAACAGGCTCAGGTTTCCTGGGCACCACTAGCTTGAGCTGGCTTCTGTCACTACTGTTAGCGCTGACTTTACAGAGGCCAGAGTTGGATCCTTGATTGTCTATACTTATGATCTGTTTAGAGCTAAAATATACACAAGTGCCCAGGACCTACATGGTATAAGGAGAGAACCAACTCTTACCAGTTAGCTTCTGACTTCCACTTGTGTGCTGTAGCATGTGCATGTACACACACACATACTCTCTCTCTAAAAAAGTTAATAGAGAAATAAATAGAACAAGATCCCAGTCCCAGGTACAGTAGAGTAAGCATATGCCACTTCAGCTCTCTCTGTATACAGTGTGTAAATAAGAGTGTACAGGACATCTGCCGGCTGGTGCTGGAGAGCACGAGGTAGCAGGACAGTGCAGGAAGACCCTAATTCAGAGTAGTGCTGAAATGAAACAGAATGTATGGACTTTTCCCTCTCCGACATTTTTAGCCTGAACTCAGGCAGATCAAACCCAGAAAGAAGTGTTAACATAACAGAGAGCACCAGAAGGGGTCCTGTGGCTGGGGGAAGAATGAGTCCCATACTGAGAGACAGGCAGAGACCCTGCTTTGCATCATTCTTCCCTCTGTTATTTTAAAAAAAAGGTTTGCTCACTTTATTATTTTATGTGTATGAGTGTTTTGCCTTCCTGTATGCATGTGCAGCACATGTCTGACTGGTGCCCAAGGAGGTCATGGCAATAAACCACTGGGATTGGAGTCATAAACAGTTTTGAGCCACAATATGGCTGCTTCGGTTTGAACCTGGGTGCTCTTAGCTGAGCCAGCTCTCCAGCCTCCTCTTTTCTTTTCCTCTGCTCTTTTCACTCTAGCCCTCATACAGTCTCATGGCAGTACTCACAGTGTCTGATGGGGCCTAACACTGTCAGCAGAGGAAGCTGGTGAGTGAGAAAGGGAGGCTGCACCCCGGTTGGTCCTCTCTCACTAACACAGTTGTGGGAAGTGTCTGGCTAACCACAGCAGGGAGACTCGGGGAACTCGAAGACACTTGATGATTACAAAGAATGACTTCTTTAAAGTCCTGGATTTCCTGTCACTGTCTATCTGGGAACAGATCTAACCCTAAGTAGTTTAAGTAGAACCGAGTGGATAGAGCACTTGCAAAACTCTGACTGGCCACTGGGTGGTGCACATGCAAGACAGAGTCAAAGTGCTGAAAACAGTTTGGAACAACAGTTCTACAGAAAAGCTGGCTGGGACTTGTAAGTCTTTATGTCTGGAATCCAAATAGGTTACAACAATGTCAGGTCTTGGAACATAATGTTTGAAAAGTCTATGGGCT